CCTTACTAGGATTTTTGACTTGAATTGGGTTCCTTCTCTCCCCAATTCAAAGCCTAAACTGTTAGACATTGCTCAGGGCCATATAATTTAGGTGAAGGAGTTGCTGCAAGAAGATGGATCAGGCTGGAACACTTGGCTGGTCCAACAGCTATTTAATGCTGAAGATAGCCATGCTATTCTGAGCATTAAGACCACTAATCCTGCCAGAAATGACAGAACCTACTGGAGCCTTAACAAGAAAGGGAATTTCTCTGTTTCCTCTACTTATGAGCATCTGATCCACCAGAAAGCATTGTCTCTTGATATTCCTGGCACAAGTACAAACCCTGCAGTAGTGAGACAAGCTTGGCTCAGGAGCTGGAATATGAAGATCAAAGGCACTGTCAAACATTTTTTATGGAAGTGCTTGACTAACACTTTACCTGTTAATACCAATCTAATCAGGAAAGGGCTTGATGTGGATGTGCTTTGTCATGGATGTGGAGAAGGCCCTGAAACCATTGAACATTTGTTTTTTCACTGTCCTAGGGCTCAGAAGCTGTGGATGATGGGACCTCTGCATTGGAGTGGAGTTCAAGCTAATGGCTGTTCCTTCAAAAGCTGGTGGTGGCACCTTTGTACTATCAAGAAGACTCAGTTTGCGGAGGACAGATTGCAACTCACTACTTACCTTCTGTGGTGGTTGTGGAAATGTAGGAATTTGTGGCTGTTTGAGAACATCTCCATACCTGTCAATGTGTTGATCAAAAGAGCGCTTAAAGATTGGCAGGAGTTCAAGGTTGTGTAATTCTTGTTAGTTTGTGTGTTTCTGTTTTTGATTTCTGTAGCTCAGACTTTTCTTTTGATTTCCTTGGGTTGCTGTGGTAGTTTAGTGAAGTTGGTTGGCAGGCTAGGCATGTAGTGCAGTGGTTATGCTGTCCCTCTTCGGGTTTTTTCTCTTTGTTGTATTCTAGGCCGCCTCGTGCGCGTCCTCCCAGTTTTCATTTCCGCTTTGTGTTGTCTATTAGGCTGATGGCCTCGTTTGTACTGAACTATGTTCCCTTTGAGTTTATAAATCTTCTATCGTTCCGGAAAAAAAATAAAATAATATATCTTAATATATGAGTATTATTTTAAAGTGAAATTTTTATGGTAACTTTATATATATGTGGAGAGTACATATGTTAAAGTTAAGTTTAAAATGAGATGATCATNAAAAAAAAAAAAAAAAACCGAGATAAATTTTACAGAGAAAAAAAAAAGATAAATTTTAGAACACATTGATAATAAATACCGCATCACCAACGAGAGAGTTGGAACGCATTCCATATACTGTTTCATGATGACAAGTAAATATTTATATTTGTAATATCAAATTTATGTAATTTTTAGAAATATTTTAATTCATATTTATAAATTTATATTGTACGGTACATTCAATAAAAGGATAATACGTTCCAAACATATGGGAGCATTTCGAGGTGTACTGAACGAAGGCGAGGTGTATGCGATCAGCAACTATGTCGTTGAATTTAATAATGGGAAGAAGGATATCATAACCAACATATGAAAACTTGTGCTTCATGGAAGAACTCATGTTATCAAATATGGTGAGATTTTCCCTCAAAATGTTGATATTTTCCCTTAACATTAGCAAGGAGCAGGAGATATTTATGATATTTAGAGTTTGATTATTATGAATTTTAATTTCATTCCATGTCGTTGAATTCCGAATTTTATAATAAATTTTAATGTTATTATATTTGTTGTCGTTATAAAATGTCGTTGGATATTTTTTTTTTTATTAAATGTCGCATGAATGTGAAAATTTGAACATTTTATTTTTGAGTTCTACTGTATATTAGTTTAAAATTGGTAGAATGCCATGATAAAAGATATAAATTAATACAAATTTTAACAAATATTTCAAATATAAGATTATATAAAAAAAATTACGGAATTAACAATAACTGAATTAAGTACATTTAATAGATTATATTGCGTGATTTTTCAATAATTTATCATAATGAATTATATTCATAAATATGGATATGAATTTTAATTATAATATTTATATTAATTTGTGTTATATATAAATTATTATTATTAAAATTTTTACGTAAAAAGATGGAAAGATTTGTTTGACGTAAAATTTTGACGTAAAATATTATAATATTTGTTTGACGTAAAAAATTTTTCAACATTTTTTTTTTATCACATTGGTATGGACAGAAATTTAATTGAAAGATGTTAATTATGTAACGATGCTATCACACAAAAATCTCCACTTTTTAACTACTTTGCACTTATCTTATCACCATACATGATAAGGTTGAAAATTACAATTTGATTTCAAAATTGTTTTAGGTTTTTATTGACCGAGTATCACTCTTTGAATCCCATTTGAATTCAAAATTGGTGTATTTTTTATTTGAACAAAAAAATTTACGGAATTAACAATAACTAAATCAAGTACATTTAATGGATTATATTGCGTGATTTTTCAATAATTTATCATAATGATTTATATTCATAAATATGAATTTGATTATAATATTTATTTTAATTTGTGTTGTATATAAATTATTATTATTAAAATCTTGACGTAAAAAGATGGAAAGATTTGTTTGAATTAAAATTTTGACGAACAAAATTTTTGACGTAATTATATTATTTGTTTGATGTAAAAAAATTTTCAAGAATTTTTTTTTTATTACGTTGGTATGGACCGAAATTTAATGGAAAGATTGATGGTGATGGTAATTATGTAATGATGCTATCACACAAAAATCTCCACTTCTTAACTACTTTCCACTTATCTTATCATCAAAAAAGTTTCGGTCCATACCAACGTGATAATCATTTGTGTTTGGATTGACTGAAATATATTCCATTTGAATTCAATGTCATTCATTTAAAAAACATAACAAATGCAGAGTACTACGGTGGATAAATCTAGAGTTAACAATATGATAAATCACGTTTTACTAATCTTATCATGATATTAGAGTTTGAATTTATTGGAACTCTGAAATTAAAATCACGTGCAATGAATCTTATCAAGAGAGATTAACGTGAGTCTAACTAATCTTATCATCTAATGGTTATCTATTTTCATCCCATGGCTATAAAATAAACGTCGAAGCCTATATCACGTATCACAAAAATCTCACACTGCAATTTCACATACAAACAGAAAAATGGCGAGAGCATGGGGAAACATCAAGCAAGTAACAAGGATCAACAGGCCAATGCTCAAGTTGAGGGTGGTTCGAGTTTTCCAAAGGACTAATCAATACTCATCCTACAAGATCATCCTTGAAATTGTCTTTCATGATATTGAGGTTTAATTCATAATAAAAAATAATGATTATCCATTTTTCTCATCATGTTAATTATAATATCTAATATCTAATATTATTTTTCTTTTTTTTTTCAGGGAGGTCGAATTACTGGAATAGTAAAGCAATCAACATCCCAACTTTCATCAATGAATTCGAAGAAGGTGTTGTCTATGCATTTCGAAACTATCAAGTCCAGAGTAATATCGGAATGTATAGATCCACCATTGATAATTCGTGCTTCTCTAATAATATGGGATGAAGCACCAATGATGCACAAGCATTCTTTCGAAGCTGTACAGACATCGCTGCAGGGTATTATGGGAGCAATTGATCCTTTGAACTTGAACAAACCGTTTGGTGGGAAGCCGATTGTTTTTGGTGGAGAGTTTTGACAAATCCTTCCAGTCATTCTAAAGGGTAGCCGTCAGGACATAGTCAATGCTGCCATTAATTCTTCTGACATATGGAGGAGTTGTATTGTGCTTAGGCTTACGAAAAAATGCGCCTTCAGGGACTTGCTAATTCGGATGAATGTGATGAGCTTGCACGGTTTGCAGATTGGATAGCCAACATCGGAGATGGAACTATCAGAGGGTTGAATGATGGATGTGCACCTACAGACATACCCGAGGACATTTTGCTTCAGCCATCTGATGATCCTATTGCTCAGATAGTTGAAAGCACATGTCCAATGTATAAGGAGGCACCCGACGATCCAAGTTATTTGAAGAATAGGGCTATATTAGCGCCTACGTTGGATGTGGTCGAGTCTATCAATCAGTACATGACATCATTGAATTTGCTGGATGGTCGTATGTACTTGAGCTCTGACAGTATGTGCAAATCGGATTCTAATAATGATTTTTTGTCTGATCTCCATACGCCTGAGTTTTTGAATAGTATCAAGTGTTCCGGAATACCAAACCATGAGTTGTATTTGAAGATTGGAACTCCAGTCATATTGTTGCAGAACATGGATCATTCTATGGGTTTGTGTAATGGGACACGATTGGTAGTGACAAAGCTATCAACTCACGTTCTTGAGTGTAAGATACTCACAGGAGATCATGCTGGTGATAAGGTGTTGATTCCAAGAATGACCATAACTCTTTCTGATGTTAGAATTCCTTTGAAGTTCCAGCGGCGACAGTTTCCCATTATGGTTTCTTACGCCATGACTATAAACAAGAGTCAGGGACAATCCTTATCTCATGTTAGCTTATTTCTTAAAATCCAGTGTTCAGTCATGGCCAGTTATATGTTGTTGTTTCCCGTGTCACTAAACGAAAAAGTTTGAAAATCTTAATTTATGGCGAAGATGACGTGCCAAAAAATCAAACCAATAATGTTGTATATAGGGAAGTGTTCAATAATATATAATTTTTTCAATTTAATGATATATTTATATGTCTATTATTATAATCATGATCATTGCCTGCATAACACAATTTATATACAAAATTGTTTTTTAAAAACATTCTAGATAATAATATCCCCATGCATGCACGGGTGACTACTAGTATTATTAATATGATTATTAGGAAAAAAAAGTTACTAAGAATGGTAGGTAATTAATGTTGACTGAAATTTGACTTTCCATTTTTAAAAAATGGTAATTCTTATTATATATATATAGATATCGCAGCCGACAAGGAAACATAAATTGTGCGGCGGCGTATGATCGGCCACGCGAACAGACAATTGAAATGGACCGAAAATATGGTCTGCACAAGAATTGAAATCGACCAAAATTCAAGACATATGAACCTACTCAAGCTAGACTGGGAATTAGATAATAAGAAAAAGATATTACCTCTGACGGGCTCTACCTGGCCGGCTAGGTTAGATGCACATAAAATTTCACCCAAATTCGGTACAGCATATCAATTATCACCAACTCGGGTTAGGTTTTTGCACTACCTGACCGCCGTGCGACGACATTTTGAGCGAGCACAAAATGTTCTGACGGAGTGAAATCGGAGGTCCCGAAAGCGTATTTGATGGTGAATTGAATTATAGAGTCCAGATCGAACCCAAATCAAGCGACCTCTTGAGATACGTTGGAGGAGTTGAAATTGGCCAGCTTGCTACTGGCGGGTCGGGAGATCAGCCGCCCTTGGTCCGAACTCTTCGTCGTCGATAAGGAACTTGTCTGGTAGGAAAGCTAAGGACACTTTCCACATCAAAAGGTGGACGGAGGATTGGGGATATCGTCGGCGACGAGAATGGTGTGAATGTCGAAGAAGAAAAAAGAGGGACGGGTTCTTCTGCTCTTTTTTAATTTTTTCAGTTGTACAATAATAAAATAAATAATAATTTGAGAGAGATGGAACTTTCAGAGAGAGTGACGCTTGTCGACGAAAATTTGAGAGAGACCGACGGTCGGCGATGAATTTTGAGAGAGAGAGAAATGGCAAAAACGAAGAAAGAGAGATGAGAGTTTCAATTCAATTTTTTATGAAAATAAGGCAAAATAAAAGAATAATAATAAAAGTAGTATATATATGGAGAGTAATTTGAAAAGAGAAATTAACTTTAGAGAGTGCAGAGGAAGTTTAAAAATGATAGGGACTGACAAGAAAGATGAAAAAGGAAGTAGGAATTTAACTTGAATTTAAATACTTAAAATGAGTGATAAAATATACAAATAGAATGGTCCGGTTCGCATGATCTTGTAGAAAGTAACGAGTCCGAGTCTGAGCATGGCGAATCGGATGTACGGATGCTGAGTCTTTGGCTACCTATCAATTGCTCAATCCACCAATCTCGTTCTTAAGCTCTACCAAAGAAGATCCGCCAAGTAAAAATGGCAACTCGACGGTTGCTGGGGTTTTTCCGGAGCCGCCCATTTGCTACTCGCACGCGGACCACTTCTCGATCAGTAATCCCTCTTTCATTCCAATTGCTCCATGATCAAAATTTTTAGATGCATAGATTATTCAGTATCAATTTAGCAGGGACCATAGTTGCTAATCTTTATGTGACTGGAAATGGTGGAAAATTGGGAACCTGTGAATGTGTGTGTTTCGAAGTGATTCAGAATAGCTAGTCTAATGCAACAGTTTCTGTAAATCCGAATGTTATGTCTCGCTGGTGGGCTATTTTGTTTAATGGAATTGCTAATGTATAGAAGAGGTGTTCTGGAGCTTTGTTTTGGATTGAATAATTTTTCTCATGGATAACCTCTTCGTGATTTATGTAGCTGAGCACGCTGGTTCTGGGGGAGCACGAGGGAGGTGCTGTTAAGGACTCATCGTTAAGTGCTGTGGAGGCTGCTAAATGCTTGGGTGAGGACAATTCAATATCTTTGCTGCTTGCTGGTTCAGGTCCTTCTTTACATGAAGCCGCTGCCCGTGCTGCCTCATCACATCCTTCGATTTCTCAGGTTCATCTTTCGCATACCTTACTCGGGCAGTATTTTTTGATATTATATTAATTGAAGATTCATGTTTAATTTGGTTATGATGGGATTTGGTTGAAATATTTCTGAAGCCTATGTATTTATCTAGATTTCATGGTCTGCAAACTCATGCAGAAATAGAGTCTGTGGTTCAGGATAATGATATTGGAAGTTAAATTATAGATTATTGTATTCTGGTGTTTGAACCTTAGTTGTGAGTAGAGTGGTGAGTGGAATAGAATTGGTCGAACTTAGAGAAGTTAGTTCCCCAAGGAACTGATATCAGTTTACCTTTTTTGTGGATATTCAGTTTTGTCACACATATCTTATGCAGGTCCTTCTTGCTGATTCAGACAAGTTTACATATCCTCTAGCCGAACCATGGGCTAAGCTAGTACACATTGTACAGCAGAAAGGCTGCTACTCACACATAATTTCCGGATCAGGTTCTTTCGGAAAAAATATTCTCCCTCGTGCAGCAGCTCTTCTCGATGTTTCTCCCATTACTGATGTCACCGAGATTAGCGGGCCTAACATTTTCGTCAGGTCACTTTTGGTGTTCAAATTTCTAACTTCAGGTTCTTACAAGTGCACGATAGAAAATTGTGTGCATTCATTGTATTTTACTAACACTTTTTTTTTTTTCAAATGACAGGCCAATATATGCTGGTAATGCTCTCAGTACAGTTCGGTACACTGGCTCAGACCCCTGCATGTTGACTATCCGGTCCACTTCATTTCCTTCTGAGCCTGTGTCAGCTAGTTCCGTATCTAATGCTGCATCCATTGATAAGGTTGACCTTTCAAATCTCCACCAAGGTTTGCAAATATTTGTATATACAAAAATACCTATTAATTTTTTGCTTTAATTTGAGTTTGTGAGAGCATTTTCGGAATACAGTGGTTTTGCTATTTGTGGGTTATTTCAGATGATGCAGTTGAAAAATCAAAGTACATAAGCCTTTCCTCTCAAGACACAGAACGCCCAGATCTTGGTAATGCACGTATTGTTGTCACGGGAGGACGAGCTCTAAAAAGTGCTGAGAATTTCAAATTGATTGAGAAGCTTGCTGAGAAACTTGGCGCTGCAGGTTTCTAATTTTTTGGATGATGTTTACAGTTGCATAGTGATACTACTACTATTTTCTGCTCGATTGGAATTTATGTCTAAAACTCTTTCGTATAGTTTTTTCTCTTCCTTGGGTGCATCTCTTGGTTTTTAGGCATGTTTAATATGCATCTTTCTTTTAGGTAAAACTTATACCCTAAATTAATGCAGTTGGAGCAACTCGTGCTGCTGTCGATGCTGGATTTGTCCCGAACGAGCTTCAGGTTAGGCATAAGAAGACTCTTTGCAGCATCCCGAACGAACTTGATGCCCAATTTTTTTTTTCTCATTATCAATTGATGTTTAGTTCAAAATTTAGAATTTCACTCAAAAACTATAAGCTTCTTATTAAATGCAGTTTTGGATGGTTTTAAAATTGCCATTTGTCTTGCCTTGTTCGTCTATCAGGTTGGTCAGACAGGAAAAATAGTTGCTCCTCAGTTGTACATGGCTTTTGGTGTTTCTGGAGCTATTCAACACTTAGCAGGCATGAGAGATTCTAAAGTCATTGTTGCTGTAAATAAGGATGCTGATGCGCCTATTTTTCAGGTCCTTTTCAAAACCAGACGCTGTTAATCTTTCACATGTTTTTATCACCATCAAGCATTTTGATGGCGTCGATAATCTGTTGTCTGATTGCTTGTAACTGAACTTTTTACGTGAATTTGTCAAGCCTTGTGCAAATGTTTTGTTTGCTTTCAACCTGTGCCTGAATGAATTGCAGGTTGCTGATTATGGACTTGTAGGGGACCTTTTTGAGATCATACCAGAATTATTAGAGAAACTTCCAGATCAAAAATAGGCGGGTCGTGTGCGAAACACTGGAAATGTTGACATAATAATTCAAATGTAATGATCATCCTTTATATGTATGTAACATGATGCATTAGTTTCTCTTAGAAGCTGAGAAATGAAGCCTACTCTTTGTATCTTTAACTGGATTATGAAAAATTGAATTCTGAAATGTATTTCCAGAGTATAATTGATATTGAATAGTCTGTGAGCTAATGCATACAGCCTAATACATTTTATTGATCAAGTCGAACGACTTCTAAAACAATGTTCGTTAGGTTCATCAATTGAACTTGCATTACCTTCTCTAATGTAGGAAATTAGGAATTACAGCTATATAGCGAAAATAGCAAGGGTCTGACTGGGAATAGCTTATAGTAACAACTAACAAGAATCTGAAAGGAATTTTAACATTGCGAAACATTTAATCATGCTTTTTGAACCGAAAAACTTAGAATAAAATCCTTGATTTCATCATTGGCAGCTCTATCCAAGGCAGTCCTGCCTTGTACATCTTTGACCGTGTAATCAGCTCCGGCTCTGATTAACTCTTCAATCTTGGGCTTATCACCTTCAGAGGCAGCCATCAAAAGCAAGATATCGACCGGATGGATATTTTGATTCAAAAGAGCCTCCATTTTGTCGTACGAACCTTCCACGGCCAGCATCCCCATGTAATTGAAGTACTATCCACACAAAAAACAAACTCATTCACCATTGATTAGTTTTTGTTCTTTTTTTTTTTCAATTTTTTTACCTCCTGTTCTCCTCAATTGAAAAGGGAAAGCACAAAAAAAGGTGAGAAATTTACAATTTAAGCAAAAGTCAGAAAGAGAAAACGAGAGAGGTTGTGATAAACCTGTTCAACATCGTCGCGGTCAAAATCATCGCGGCCTTGGCTGCCATAAATTCCGGCGCCTTCAGCATCGACGCCATTTTTGCCGAACCTGAACCAGCAACGAATTCTCAAGCCACGGCTGGGCCCGAGCCTCGGCCTTGCTCTGCACCCTACTCTCACGGCGGAGCCTAGGAATGCACAATTGAGCTTCAGAAAAGCTGCGGCGGGACCACGGGAACCAGACGAAGAAGAAAGGGTGGCGTTGATGGAGAATTTTGAGTGGAGAGCGCAAGGAGCTATGGACGCCATCGCTAACTGCTACTGTGCTTTCAGATTTCCGACTTTACAGAGATATATGCCCAAAACCAACGGTCCGTATTTAAGCAGCTTTATTTTTTGAAGTGCCAACTAATCTAATGTTTTGGAGATAAAAATGAATTTTGGTTCTCAAAATTACTAAAAAAATTCTCCTATGAAATATCTGACCATTTGACTATCAATCAATTAATTATCATTTTTTTTTTTACCAAAAAAGCGTACTTATGAATTAAGATTTAAATTCCATATATTTATTTAGTTTGTTTTTTTTCGCATGACATTTCAATTTAATAATATGCATATAAAAAATATGACTTGCTAACCATTAAACATAATTAACTAGCAAATAGAAACATTTTTTTTTATGTAAAATTAAGAATGTGGTTATGAATGGTTTGGTTTGATTGTTTGGGGTTTAGCGGTCTAAATTGGTTTAACAAGAACAATAATCTTATTCTTTAACAACAATAACACATAAACATCAACAAATATAAATATAAATCAAGTCACAGTACTTCAAAAATAAATAAAAAAATGAATCACTCCAACAAAAAGTCCTTTTTTTCTTAACAACGTTTGTATTAGCATTTCACTCTCTTAATCATAATTTTTTTTTTTTATCAAAAAAATACTTATGATATTAAATGTCATATATTGGTATGTGAAATCTAACCGAATTAATTAATTATAATTTTTTTGCCAGAAAAGCATACTTATCAAATTAAATATAATATAATTGTTTATTGTGTTTCTTTCCGCCTGATATTTCAATAAAGTATGTTATAAAAAATATGCACGACTTACTTAGTACTTACCATCAAGCCTAATTAACTAACAAATTAAGTGACATATATGGTTAAAAGGTTTTATTTGAAACAATTTTTTTAACATAAAATTAAGAATGTGGTTTTGAATGGTTTGTCTTGATTGTCTGGGGTTTGGCGGTCTAAAATTGGTTAAGTTTTAACAAGAACCATAATCTCATTATTTAAAAACAGTAACACATAAACATCAGCAAATATAAATAAAATTGGTTAAGTTTTAACAAGAACCATAATCTCATTATTTAAAAACAGTAACACATAAACATCAGCAAATATAAATAAAATTGGTTAAGTTTTAACAAGAACCATAATCTCATTATTTAAANTTGTATTAGCATTTCACTCTCTTGATGTTTGTTAGCTCACTTAAATTCTATTCACAATATGAAATAATCAATCTTGAATTATCTATTTTTTTCTCCATACAATGGCTTTACATTTACATACTGCTGCCAAAAAATAAAAAATAAAAAATATGTGCACTGTGCAGTTTAGTGTATATTCAACATTTGTAGCAGCAAGCACCATATTAATTTGGAAAACCCATAGCTCCCTCCACCTTATTTATCACCATTATTATCTTCTCCTTCATTCTCCTTGCCAACAGTTAAAAATTGCAGTGCTGTCACAACATCGGTTATCAATGGCCGAGTATCGGCTTCTTCTTGCAGGCACATTGCAGCAATAGCCAGCGCTTGGTAAAGCGCTTTTTCTGGATAATTCCTTCCGAGCAACGGATCAGCCATCATATGGAACTTTTTCTTATCCTTGAATAAAGGTTGTGCCTGCAAAAAGTGAAACAGGAAATTTAAGTTTAGGTTATGTTTGGTAAAACTAGCTGATAAGCTAGCTTATAGCTTATAAGTGATTTTCGAGCTTTTAGTTTATAGCTCATGACTTATAATTGAAAAGTTAACTTATATGATAAAAGTGTTTGATAAAATTAGCTGATAAGGTAGCTGAAATAAAAATTTCAACGAACTTATTTGAAAAGTTACGAAGCTTATCAATAAACTCGAGCTTTTTAAAAAAATTCGTCCTATCAAACAAAACTTATTTGAATACATGGAGCTTATAAGCTATAAGCTAGCTTATTTGGTTACCAAGCATAACCTATAATCCGAGAATGTTAAAAGTCTAAATGAGACCATATGTTTATGCATTATTAATATTACCCATTCGATTAAGTTCTGCTCCTCACTTGGTTTCGTATTGTCGATAACTCTTCTACCGGTGATCATTTCTAGAAAAACGACCCCAAAACTGTACACGTCGGATTTGGTGGTGAGTTGTCCGGTGGCTGCATATTCGGGTGCACAGTACCCGTAAGTTCCCATTACTCGTGTCGAAACATAGTTTTTTACATCGTTACTAGGACATAGCTTGGCTAGCCCGAAATCGGAAAGTTTGGGGTTGAATTTTTCGTCTAAGAGTATGTTTGAAGCTTTGAAATCTCGGTAAACTACCGGAGGATTAGCTGTTTCGTGCAAGTACTCGAGCCCTTTTGCTGCGCCTTGAGCAATTTTCATCCGGGTTTGCCAGTCGAGTGGCTTTCTATCCGAGTCTATATCTGGTGCATTTTAAGAAAAATGAAAAAATCGAAACTTTATAACAAATCACTACTCGAAAAAATTAACACTACNCAAAAAAAAAAAAAAAAATGAAAATAAGACATACTTACTTAAGAGGTGATTTTCTAAGGAGCCATTGGCCATGTACTCATAGACTAATATTCTCTGCTCTCCCTCGGCACAATATCCGATTAGATTTACGAGATTCGGATGGTGAAGAAGGCTCAACATAAGAACTTCGACGAGAAATTCTCGATTCCCTTGGAAACCATTCCTGTCAAGTTGCTTTACTGCAACATCCTAAGACATATATATATATATATATATATATATATATATATAGAAACAGAGGAAAATTCAATTTCTGTTTGAAGTCAAAATCGGCAAATCGCTCTTGTAACTATATAATTGTTTTTGAGTAACTAATTACAATGTTTTTATTCTCTAGGTGGCCCTTGTGCACCCTCCCAAAGCCACCTTCACCGATCAAAGTATCGAGTTTGAAGTTTTGAGTGGCGGCCGATAGCTCGTTAAATGTGAAAATATCGGTTGAGATGTTGTTCTTTCCGAGTTTTTCGATCTCGTCCGCCAAATATCTCCTCCTGCTACCTTCTGCAAATCTAAGGATTTTGTTAAATTTAAGATTTTCATATTATTGTTGGATATATAAGATTCTATATCAAAATAAAGAATATGATGTTTATGAATTATGATCTACGTGAAGAACGTTATATCATCGCATGAAAATTTGATAAAAGAATAGAAGAATTTAATCCGAATATATATAAGCCATGTTCGATTCGATATTTTTTTTCTCACCGGTCTTCATGGAGATATTGGCAATGGATTCCAAAGGCTTCGTGTCATGGTACTTTCGAGTACTCTTACTCTTCAAGGACGCTTGTCGAGCACTTTCTTCGGACATACAACACGAAAAACAACTCAACATCCTTTCTATTTATTTCCTTTTGCTTCAAATTTCAACAATCCTTTTAATAACATGAAGCCTCTGAAGTTATATATATACATATATATAGCATTTAATCAAAATGAAGATGAAACGCAAACTTTGGGGTAGCATTCGAATCCTGAATCTCTTGGAAAGATGAGGGAAAACTTTAGTTCTGAAAAAACTAAGTCCATTACTGCCTTTTCAAGAAATTGCTAAAGGATTCGAAGCGCTTGCATGATCCGTTTCTACCTCTCTAAGAGCAAAATGTGTTTGTGAAATATATTTGACTTGGTCAATTTTTTCTAAATATATCCTATGGTGTTGCTGACAACCACTTTTTAAGACAACGAGTCATAAGCGATGGCCACGAAAAGGACACTATGGCAAGTGGCATGTTAACTTTGTATGAAAATTGGATGGTTTTGACAAGAGAATTCTTTTTTTTTTTTTTCTTTCCCTTATAAAAATGATGCTTCTAAGTTCTAACAAAATACTTACTCAAAAAAATTTTTTAGTTATCATATTAGTGATGAAACAATTCCTCTCGGGATAAGCTAACCCCCCAATCTCGCCGGTGGAGCTCTGGCTAGGGGTCTTCCTTGACCGCTCCGCCCTCCTGGACGACGTGCACCTCTGATGTTGCTGTGGAAGGGCCGCGAGCGGCGGTCCAATTCTAGGTTGCTGACGAGGTTCTGGTCGACGGTGGCGTCCCTCACTTTTGGAGTTTGGCCGGAGATTGGAGTCTTTTCTTCAGTCAATGGTGGACCTTCGATAGGTGACGGTAAGCCCCTTCAACTTCGCTTTGTCTGTGATACTTGGAATCTACCTCTTCCGGCAGGGCTTCGCCTCTGTTTGGCGGGGCCAGGGCCTCTGATCGTAGGAGCTCCGTGGTGGTGTTGGGCGGAGAGTGTGTCATCGGGTTTGCGGGACTCCGTTGGCTGCAACTTTTCTGGTTGCGGCAGTCGGGGTTGAGGGACCGAACCACCCTCACCCTCCTCTGTTTCGGCTAGTGGTGTTAGGCGGCGGGGGACCTTGGGCTTGGCTAGTGGTGTTAAACGGGCCTGGGTGGGCAGGTGTGTGGGCTGGTCGATTCTCTTTCGGTCGGAGATGGGTTGATTCGGGGATTGGTTCAGGGCTCGGGTTCGGCTACTGTATAGGCATTGGTGCAGTTTCGGTAGTGTTTTTTACTGGCTTGGAATCTTTCCTGTGTCGATCGTTCATCACTGGTTGGAACCGTTCGTATGCCGATGAAGGGTTATTATGTTATTTTTGTTATTTGTTTTTAGTGTTTTGTGATGTATGTGTCTGTATTTGTGTTTGTTTTTGTGTTTTAGGTTTGGGTCGTTGGCCCCTGTGCGCCCGAGTGTCACCTTATTACCCTGTTGGGGCTCGACATTCAGGTATTACCCTGTTGGGGTCTTTGTGTTGTTTTTTGTGTTTTTAGTGCTCTTCTATTTTACCCTGTTGGGGTCATATCCCGTCTATGGGATCTCTAAGCCGCTCTATAGCGTGTCCTCTCTGTTTTTCATTTTCGGTTGTGGGTCATGTTTGTATTAGAACTATGTTCTCTCTTGAGGTTTGATATAATATCTGTTTCGTTCCGAATAAAAAAAATATTAGTGATGAAACTAGTTAAATCATTAGTGATGTAGAATGTGAATAAAAACGGAATAAAAGAGATACTCTCTCTTCATAAAACACACAAGAATAGATATTTTATTTCTCAAATTCAACTGCAAATAACAAAGAAGAAGGAGTCTTTAATAAGACTCCTAAAGCCCTAAACCTAACTTGTTCACCAATCTACGAAATAATAATAATAATAATAATAATAATAATAATAATAATAATAATAATAATAATAATTGATATAGGCGTAAGTAGCGGTTCATGAAGGACCGGTTGTGATCCGAGTTCTAGTTACAGTTATATTTGGTGGGCGCTAGGCGGAGACCATCTCAACGTGAGCTAGGCGGAGGCGATAGCCTAGACAGCTAGGCGCCTCGGCACCTAGGCAGCTAGGCGCCTCGGCACCTAGGCAGCTCGGCCAGAGGGTTCGGCTGAGGTAACCAGAGCCCGACGGTGGCTTCGTGGCCAAGTCATAAGAAAGTTTGTAGTGATAAGGACTCTGAAGTTCTGGATATCTTTGACCTAATTTGGAGATAAACACGATGAAGACTTCTGGACCGACAAGAACTCTTTGGCTTGTACATGACCTCACCTATAAAAGGGCACAGGTTCATTCATTTTACACAACACATACACACATATTATCTCGTTACTCTGCCGTTTTCTCTCCGGAACACCACCACTGACTTGAGCGTCGGAGTGTCCACGCCGGGACTACCCCCGACGTGTTTTGCAGGTACCTACGATGAAAGAAGCGCAATCCAGTTCGAGAAGGGAGGTCGAGCGGTTCAGGTATTTGTGGTATAACAAATTGGCGCCGTCTGTGGGGAGAATCTCAGTCTTCTACCAGAGTATCAACGGCTGTTTTTTTCTCACTAAAGAAGAGGAAGAGCGACGTGGATCATGGCAGGGGATAACTCGAAGAAAGAACATGACGAAGGATATGGATGAGGCGTGGACGAAGAGGGCTCTTGGAACAGGGCCGCCGCCCGGGTGGTCCCCGTCGTTGACTACCCCCAAGGAGACGTTGCTGGCCCCAAGTGTGACCCCGACACCACCACCAGGAGCTCAAGGGCGTTTGGCGAACCCAAGAGAATCGGGTGGCCAGACCAACAAGGAGAAGGAGCTCGGCGGTGCAACGAGTGGAGGAATTGGTCAGGTGACCCCGCTAAACAATCAACAGATGGTCTTAGCAGGAGGAACGTAAATAACACTTTTAAAGCTAGGCATAATATTTCTTCAAATGCGATATGTTCCAGGGTCGCGGCAGCAGCCGCCCCTCCGCATCACGAAGCTCATAGGCACCTCCAGCGAATACCCTTTCAACAGTATATGGTCCCTCCCAGTTGGGTTCCAGCTACCCCACATGCTTCAGAGCATCCGCCTGACGCCAAACCAAGTCCCCGACCTGGAAACGCCGAGCTCGAATCGACTTGTCATGGGCAGCCTTCATCCGCTGCTTATAAATTGTTGTCCTCAACCCAACCTGGTCTCGCAACTCATCCACCAAGTCCAGCGCCTCCTTCCAGAGCTCGACAATTCCCTTCTTCCGCGTAGGTGCTAACCGTTCTGAGTTGAGGCCGACCTCAACCGGAATGACGGCCTCCATACCATAAACCAAACTAAATGGAGTCTCTCCCGTCGAGGTCCTCGGCGTCGTCCGGTATGACCAAAGCACCGAATCAAGTTCATCCACCCAAGCTCCTGAGGCTCTTTTCAACCTAGTCTTCAATCCATTAAGAATTGACCTATTAGCGACCTCGGTCTACCCATTTGCCTGGGGGTGGGCTACCAAAGCGAATTTCTGTTTGACGCCTTTCTTAGTTGGCCTGTCATAATGCTCATCAGTCCTCCTCCGTTTGTCACCCAGTTCACGTCCATCGCGGCGATCTTCCTAGCGCTCCTTATCCTTGATCACGAACTCCTTTAAGTGGCCGGCCCAGATGAGCCGCTCATTTTCATCTTTCAGCTCCTGGCAGAAATTGGTAGAGTAGCCATAATCACGGTGGTACCGACACTATCTATCCTTTCCAGCTGAAAACTTTCGCGGTGGGGGCAGAGGTTTGGGTTGCGCGAGCAATTTGTCCTCTCCCCGCTTTTCCATCATCTCCAGGATCTCCTGTTGTGGCGCATTAAGTGGTTTGTAATGCACGTCCCTCGGACCCCTGAACCGCTCCTCAACCTTGTACTCTTTAGCAGCAGTTCGGCGATCACTTTGCCGAGGCTTCTCGTCTACCTGCTTAGCCTCTGTTTTGTCATTCTGAATGAAATCCGCTTCAGCCTCCTCCATATTCACATACTTGCTACACCTCTCGAGGAGCTCGTCAAAGGACCTTGCAGGCCTCTTTGCAAGTGAATCCCTGCATTTACCGGGCCTCAACCCCCGCGTGAGACCCCCAGCTGTTATCTCCTATGTAGCAGAAGGTACCTCCACACACTCTTTAGTGTACCTTGAAACGTACTGTCGCAGACTCTCCCCCTCCCTCTGTTGCATGTTGATTAGTGAGAGATACATCTTCTCATGCTTCCTAGCGCTCGCGAACTGGTTTAAGAACAGAGAACTAAACCTCTCAAAGCTGTCAATAGAACTGGGTGACAACTGGTGGAACCAGTCTTGTGCTGAGCTCTTCAAAGTAGTTAAGAAAGCCCGACAACTAACCACATCGCTGTATCGGTGCAGGACCGCCATGTTATCGAACGACCACAGGTGTCTAGCAGGATCTGTCGACCCATCATATGATAGGCTCAGCTCTCTAAAGTTATTTGGCAAGTCTCTACCTCGCACCTCTTCCGAAAAAGAATGACCATGCGACCTGTCCACCTTTTTCCCTGGGAATCAGGCTTGCATCTCACGCATTTGTTCTGCTAGTCTCTTCAGAGTCAACCCCTCCTGCTGTGCTACCAAGGGTCGAGATGTCGCCGACCTATCGCCATCCTCATCCCCCCTTTCGCGCTGGTGCGTCTGGTGAGGGTGCAAGGACAACTGCTGATGCACGGGCTGCCTTAGCGATTCATTAGCTCGCCGATCAACCTCTTGAGCCCGCCCTATTGCGTCCGCTATGATCTTGTCCAGCTCCGCCCTCGTCATATGTATCGTTTGATCTCCTCTTGCCGTCGAGGAGTTGCCTGGGGGGTTGGTTTGTTTGCATTTGCTTTTGTTCTTTCAACAAGACCAATAATGAGATTGTTTTTGAAGTTTTATCAGCTCTATTCTTCTCTTGTATGGAATGTGTTAGGGCGAAAGCCTGTTAGTCTCTCCTACGCTCGCAAAGCTAGGCAACGACCTTCGTAGGGCGAAAGCCTGTTAGTCTCTCCTACGCTCGCGGAGCTAGGCGACGACCTTCGTAGGGAGAAAGCCTGTTAGTCTCTCCTACGCTCGCGGAGCTAAGCGACGACCTTCGTAGGGCGACAGCCTGTTAGTCTCTCCTACGCTCGCGGAGCTAGGCGACAACCTTCATAGGGCGAAAGCCTGTTAGTCTCTCCTACGCTCGCGGAGCTAGGCGACGACCTTCATAGGGCGACAGCCTGTTAGTCTCTCTTAAGCTCGCGGAGCTAGGCGACGACCTTCGTAGGACGACAGCCTGTTAGTCTCTCCTAAGCTCG